TACAGTACACGAGGATGATACCTTCTGAGGTGTTAGAGAAAGAAAGAACATTCCAAGGTCAACGACGAACCTGAGAAGTTCAAGTATTGCAAGAACGATGTCATTTACGTAGCAGAATCCACTTGCCTCACCCCGTTTTGCATGGTGCAAGCCTCCAGACCAATTGATGGCGATGTCAGTAGTACCAGCACAGAGTTTTCGAGCGCCAGCAAGAGACCCTCCCGTGTACATGCGACAAAAGTCGAACATATCAGCAAAGATAGGGCAGTCCTCGACGCAATTGAAGATGTCAATCATCTGTCTCATTTGTGCCTGGTTACCTGGCGTCACTCTACGAGAACGATCAGGGAACGTGAAGTGTGAATACTGGAATGCGCCGGCTCTCTGACCTGGAAAGGAAATCAATGTAGTCGTGATCATGGTATGCCTCTAGCTCAGACTGAGTCGCAGGTCGCGGGTCATATATGTTGTGAATTTGCTTGTCCAGACCATATCCCATAACAAGGGCGTTGGTTAGCGTTAAGCGGTGGGGTTTCATCGGGTGCCGCTCCTAAAATAGGATGAGGGGGGATACGAGAGCGTAGATAACACGAGCTCTGCCTACCCCATAGTGATGTCCACCGACTCCGAGTGGCGAGTAATAAGAAACAATGGGTCGAGAATGAGCCTTTTGCTAGACTTCAAATATATTTATATGCTGAACAATTCGTGGACTTACATTTATGCGCTCTGTAATCGGTTGAGCGGTACCGTGCGCACCACGGTCAAAGAAGTAGGGCAAAGAGGAGAACGTCGTGGCCTGGGAAGTGCGAACCATGGGAGGGAAGCTTCAAAATTGTAAGTAACTCTCGAGAATACGGGAGATAGATATTAGAAACGGTAGGGTAGAGGCTACTCGGCCGCCAACATGGTTGGATATCAGATTATATGCAACAGGAATACTCACCAAAGAGTATACGATATAAAAAATACAGAATTGAACAAAGTTAGTGTCTTCTGCTGTGATGGTGCATTCGGAAGAGGAGGCAACTTATGAAATTTCGACGAAATTTATTCTCACGCGCAGCTTTGGTTGACCCCAGGTTGACCGTCCGCTAAGAAACTGAGTCTCTCCTTCAACGAACTTCCATCGCTCTTTGACCGCACCACGCCCACTAAATGCATACGAATGGGCTCCTCCTACTCATAGCAACTTTCTGCGGCATTGCTGTCGCATCCGCTGGAGACAGGTCACCCGAATTTCAGACCTGCGTCGCTTCGTGCTCATCCACGAACCATTGTCGATCATGGGCACACCAAGCTCCTATGTCTTTGCGACTGACAGGATGGACCTGTGAAGACGACTGCAAATACGTATGCATGCACGAGATAACAGAGCACGATGTACAACGGGGAGAGCCTATCAAGCAGTACTACGGAAAATGGCCGTTTTGGCGCCTTGTTGGCATGCAAGAACCGGCTTCAGTCGCGTTTTCCATGTTGAATCTGTGGTATCATGCTCGGGGCGCTATGAAAGTGCACCAACGGATCCCATCATCTCATCCCATGCGACCCTATTACCTGGCATGGTCTTTCACCAGTGTCAACGCGTGGATCTGGTCATCCGTGTTCCATACCCGAGGCGAGTGCTTTTCAGGCCCATTTGGTAAGCTGTGTCTTATCGACGTCTTATAGACCTTCCAATCACGGAAAAGCTTGATTATTTTTCCGCCGCGCTTGCCATCCTTTACGCCCTTTACTACACTGCTATTCGGCTGTTCCATCTTTATCCACGCCATTCTCGCCTCACGCTCTCGAATACGTCGCAAAATACTAGCCTGGCGTATAAGGCTTGGTCTGTACTGTGTATCATGGCCTACGTGGCTCATGTCTCATACTTGTCCCTGCTTCCCCGCTTCGACTATACCTACAACATGGCCTTCAACCTCATAGTCGGCTTCACACACAACGCGTTGTGGCTGCTCTATGGTCTCCCGGTCTCCGTATTCCGGAGGTTTCCTTCCCAACCCAAGTCCTATCGGCCCGCTCATGTGTACAAGGCCGTGGTTTTTGTGGCACTTACTACTGCTGCGACCGCTTTGGAGCTTTTCGATTTCCTTCCGTGGGACGGAATGATCGATGCCCATGCTTTATGGCACCTTTCGACGGCGCCTATTGCCCTGTTCTGGTACGATTTCCTGGTGGAGGATTCTCTAGATAGCAGTTGGAGGGAACAGAGGACGTGAATATCTATCTATCGGCACTTGCGTGTATCTTAAGTCGAAGTGAAAGCCAGAAACTTTCTGAATATTGATGTCAATCATAGCTGGATTAAGTATTAGGCCGCCAATACAAGATATTAATACAAGGTTAATTTACACCAAGTGTACATTGACGAGAGTGAGACGAATAAAAAGTGGGCGGAAGGTTATGCTTCCTACGAACGAAGGGCTTTCGCACATGAAGTTCACAATGATGGTACTGGGCCAGTCTTGATCTCCAGAAGGCCATGTTTGCCTTTCACAAGACCCAAAAACATGATGTCGGGCCCAAGGAAATCCATGCGCAGTACACCGTCCTCTCGCGGCGCACATCTGCATACATATGACGCTGTCAGTTCTTCACGATCGGCAGCACTCAACACAACGTTGTAGAAGTCCTGTGCAGTGATTTGGCGCGAGAGATTCTCATACATCTGGCAGAAAATGTCACCAATAGTGATACCGTTCGACTGAGTTGCTTGAATAGTGATGGTCCAGGGCAATTTGGCATGGTACAGGCATAACTCGTGGACAGGGGGGGTAGTAGCGACCTGGTATAAGTCGAGATCGTTAGAGTATCGTGGAAGATTAAGATGTTGAAAGTTGGTCGTTTCTGGATTGCTTCGAAGGTCGTGGGAGAGAGGGTGGCTGATTGAAGAGATGTAGTGGATGAGGGGATGGAGAGTGTACTTTGATGTGCCGCCTGGAACAAATTTGGAGTAGGTAGGCTGGTGCTCAAATCCTGGCCGACTCCTGAAAGAGAGCCTGCGCAACTTTGTGGCACGAGGTGGCTTGTAATCAGGTCGCCAATAGGCGGGACGAGGGGCAAGATTCATAGGACTGAAATGCAGATCCGCTCCGTACGGCTGCGCGGCTTTCCGTTGCCTCGAGAAGTCCTTTATCGACGATGAAAGTTTGCTCTGCGACTTTCTCTCGGGAGCAGCGTACGGGTGGTAGCGATAAATAGATTCATTCTGCTCTGGAGCTTCATATGCATTCTCATAACCATCGAGTTCCGGTGAAGGAGGCACAACTGCAATGGGTGGTGGCCTATGGTTGGAGCTCGCCCTCTTTGATCTGGGGGGACGGGGGGGCACGGGCATGCAGTAGTATGACGGCCTCGAGAACTGGATTGATACATCCTCTTGATCTTCATCGGTATCAACGCCCAGAGATTCGGGTATAGGTTCCGTATATGGAGCCCATGCATCGTATGGCTTTACGGGCGTGCAAATGTAGGCAGGCCATTGATTGTGGCCTGACCATGGAGAATATTGAGGTGGTAGTTGGGCATAGTATCGGGTCGGGTCTGTCATATACGGCGGAGGTGGGCTGCATTTTTGTGAGCAAAAGACGATACAAAGCAGTCATGGTGCTCACGTGTAACCTGAATAGTTGGGATGTGGATAACAGGGGTGAGCTGGTTGGTGTTTAGGGTCGCACATTGTGCGCGTAGAAAGTTTGACTGGGGATGGAAGGCTGAGTGTTCCTGTGCATGGGGTAAGCGGAGGAGGTATGAAAATCAAGATGCAATTGTCTATGCTTGCGCTTATATATCAGGAGCCGGTCTTTGTTGAGAACATGGCTATAATGCAGAGGAAGACAAAAGTAGCCGACTTGTGTCACTCTATGGGCGCGTTGACAAAATTGTGTGCACGACAAGAGCGAACAAGAGTCCGCGCCGTTGTCAGGAGGGCCGACAGGTGATCACCTATGGACCCGAAGAGGACAAAAGCCGTTCTTGTTGTCATTCCGCCAGGGACTGTCCCGGAAATACAAAAGAACAAAGAATATCCATATCACACCCAGGCCACGGGCAGCAGCGCATCACCAGAGTGACTAGGTGCAGCACCCAAATATCAACTTAGCCGATTCAGAAGTTTTCAGTTTTGCCACGGTGGCATCCGATGAGGCCCAGGAACCCTGTAATGGCGATGTCTCATCAGAGTTGTCCAAATCGAGCGATGAAAGTCTAGCGGCGGGATGTAGCTCGGGGACATTGAATATGGTTAAGGTTGTTCAAGTGTCAAGAGCCAACTGTTGTTGTTATCGTTGGCTCCAGAGGCACGGATGTACAAACTGGCGCGCGCGGCTGATAACTTGATCCGATGCAGCTACTGCATCCGAGTCTTGATCAAGTCTCCTCTTGGTCTCCATAGCGGTATACTCATCTTACGTATCGAAACCCTCTGCTAAGTATAGGCGGGCGAGCGTCTACTTCCAACGCCGGGTACAGAAAGAGGCTTGATTGGGTCCTCTGCGGCGGTTAGCCGTAATGGTTAAAACATGGTAATTTTCGGCTTCGGCCTCGGCTCGGACCTAATTCGATCTCCGCTTTAACGTGTCTTACAGATATGCACCTTCGTTGGAGCAATTTAGCGAGCGAGCTAGAAGATTTATGTAACATGCTGCTCGTCTCTGGTCTTTGGTCGCTCCTTGCAGCGTTACTGTAAAGCAATTCAAAGCCAATCTAAAGAAGGCCGGCGGAAAGATCGGAATTGAATAAATAGAGTTCTGGAGACCTCAGTTGTGAGATCACTACGCTGGCCTTGGGACACGATGGCCCCTCCTCTCTCCACAACCACTGTGTCTCGCAATATGAAGAGTAATTCAACCCATCGCCCCGCAGACAATCCCATCCCTACCAATCCTACTATTTTCCTCCCATTGCTATGGACTTTCTTCAAACAATTCCTCGAGGCTCGGGGACAGCGGGCATCCTCTAGCCCTCCTGTTGCTATCAATATATTGACTTGTGTTGGCGGGCTAGCGTAATGGTTAACGCGTCAGTTTCCGGTTCACGGTCTGGCGCTGTGTAGGATAGCTGAAGACTCCGGGTTCGAGTCCCGGGCCTGTCGCTTTTTTGGCTATGTAGCAGGAACGCCTCCAAAGGTTGAAACCACTCGTTCCCACCTCCTATTTCAGTTTCAGAAAAATCACGTTTTGAATATACCCTCCACGCTGCCACACGCACAGGAACTACCGCGTCGCAAATTGTCTATGTCAAGGTCAGCTGCATGCGAACAAGGGAACACTGGCCACATTTCACAGCAGTCATATACACAGCCCCCTGGCAGCGGCAAGCGTGCACCATGAAGGGTTTTAATGACTGAAAACGCTACGATCTCCGCAAATGGAAACGATGACGCCTGCATGAGGAGTTTGACGGTGATTGGTGGCGCAACTCCAGCGGGTGTCGCGGGTCTTGCCATCATCAGTGTCCAGTTGATTTGATATGCTGGTCATATTTCTGAAGTCATCTTATTTGGAAAAGGATTGCATTCTCTTTGCAGGACCGATCCATTACTCCCATCCGCAATTTTCATGAGCGGCATGGGGATTCCAATCATTGTAGACTCTTGGGTATAATATTTCCATAGTGATCTGAGTGCCATACATACACACATGTAAAATCAAAAAGAGAGAAAGAAAACATGGACGGAAGGCTATAGATTCTTGGACCAGTTCAAAACGAACAACACATTCGAGCTATCACCCTAGGACGTTATTGGGATTCGAGCCCAGGCCACTTGCAATTGCGCCCCAAAGCAAGTATCATACCTCTAGATTATAAGGCCACACACTTGGATCACTGTCGTATTCTTCTCCCGCGATGGGATGAGCAGCAGATGCTTCTGCGATGTATCCTGCTCTGCCAAGAGCTGCTAAACCCACTTCTAGTAAGCATTGTGCCAGCAAACATAGCTTTGACGGGTCTTTCAATACGAGGAGGTCCACGAGGTTGTACTAGGACCTAGCATTCTTGGACAAACAGATCATCTGTAGATGTTCCGTAAGACTGATGGTTTACTGTTAGTGCATGTATGGCCCTTTGGTTCCTACTACGTACGTTCTAAGTACGGTAGGTCGTTTTTGCAATTGCGGGGCGTCTCCGAAGGTAGGTCCCAGCCAAGCGCTGTGGTAGCTCAGCCGGAGCATCTACACCCAGTGGTAGCTTTGATTTGAACGGTTGTATGGTGCGGGCCGTGCAATCCAAGAAACACTTCACGCATCGAAACGGAAACGACCCAGACTGAGACTTAGACGGATGTGGTTCTGTTGACTCGTGACTCCACCCAAGGCCGTTTGAGCCCGGTGCTAAGCCTAAGCAGAAGAGGTGACTGCGGAAGAGATCGATTCATCGTAAACAGGAGAGGAGAGGTAGCCGTTGTGGATTAACGGGATGAATGAATCAGAAAAGGTGGTGTAGGGTGCACAACTTTCAGCATGCAAGTTTTGCGGAAGGCATTACGTCGTGCCCAAGTCCAGAGCCTGAAAGCTGCTTGCCACGAATACTGAGAAGCCGAGTAATCTGCTGCTCTATTGACTGAGGAGTCGTGTGGAATTGAACAGGGGAGATAGAGGCAACGGTCTGACGAATGTGACGAGAGATGATGACACTCAACTGGGCATGAGGCACGCGCGGTGCCGAAAAGTGGCCATCTCCAATCTGTTTGGAAATTCAAACTTTGAACTCAGCCATTCAGTAATTGTTCGTCTCACACGATAATTTCTCTTTACTTCCTCTAATTTCCAGCCGCGTTATCCATACGACGCCGCTGGTCGAAGCTCTTTTGAAGCCATGTCGTTTTTTGGGGCACAACCCGCAGCCACCGCGTCAAATACTGCAGCAACGGCCGAAAAGGATGTCGAGTTGGTCGAGCCTCCCACCGATTCAATTTCCTCCATAGCGTTTTCAGGACAGGCAGACTACCTAGCGGTAGGAAGTTGGGACAATAGCGTACGTTGACTTACTCCTTGTGGCTCTTGTCGCGCGCTCATCAAAGTGGTAATAGGTCCGAATTTACGAGGTCATGGCGGGTGCGGCCTCGCAGGGAAAGGCGATGTACCAGCATCAGGGACCTGTGCTGAGCGTGTGCTGGAACAAGGTGGGTTGATACTCCTTTATGTCGCGTCCCCGTGTTCTAAACGTGTGTTGGCAGGAGGGGAACAAAATCTTCTCGGGCGGCGCTGACAATGCCGGTCGAATGTTCGACGTGACTACTGGACAGGCTACGCAGGTCGCGCAGCACGACGCGCCGATCAAGGTCGTACGTTGGGTTGATGTACCCGGGTCGGGGCTGCTAGCAACAGGGAGCTGGGACAAGACCATCAAAGTGTGTACCTTTTTATCACATTGTCATCGGCCTAGTATCACTGATGCACACTATTGTAGTACTGGGACCTGCGTGCTCCTGCACCAGTGGCAACAGTCACCCTGCCTGAGCGATGCTACACCTTCGACGTCCAGTATCCCCTGATGGTCGTTGGGACAGCCGAGCGCCATATCCCGATATTCAACCTTACGAACCCCAATACCCCATACAAAGTCAGGCATAAATGCTATTGCCTGCTGACATTCATGTTGACCCTTTCATTAATATAATAGACCATCGTCTCCCCGCTGAAATGGCAAACACGTGTTGTTTCTTGTTTCACCGCAGCTGCAACCAGTGGATTCGCAGTCGGAAGTGTAGAAGGCAGAGTTGCCATACAGTGAGTTCTCCCCGTCATCTCTTTTGAGCTTTGGCTGATGTGCTTTCAGATACGTTGAAGACAAAGACTCCGGGTTAGTCGAGGCTCGATAGCCTCTGACATCTTTCTCATCAACAAATTATAGGAACAACTTCTCGTTCAAGTGTCATCGCCGTGACAATGTCCCAAACTCCAAAGATCAAGCATTAGTATACGCAGTCAATGACATCTCATTCCATCCCGTACACGGAACGTTCTCGACCTGCGGTGCGTTCTATACTGTCGCGTGATCATCATTTTGACTCATCGGACTTCCGCCACAGGCTCCGACGGGACCATCCACTTCTGGGACAAGGATGCCCGCACCCGCCTAAAGAGTTCGTTCTGCCAACTTCTAAGTGTCGAGACCCTTATCGATGGCCTTTCTATTTCTAGCCTTTGAGCCTGCCCCAGGCCCCATCTCCACCACCGCCTTCAACCGCAATGGCAACATCTTCGCATACGCCGTATCATACGACTGGTCGAAGGGCCATTCGGGCATGACGCCAGGCCAGCCCAACAAGGTCATGTTGCATGCATGCAAAGACGAGGAGGTCAGGAAGCGGCCTACGCGGAAGTAGGTAGCCACGGCGAATACTACTCCCTTTTGACGACACTCTGCGTCATATATATCGGTTTCTTTCTTGTGCACCGCTGTTTTCTTACATATATGTACCCGCCGGCAATATTATGAAGTTGTATTCTTGAACTTGCGCTTAACAGAGGAAGATGTCCACAATTTCCGCAACGCGCAGAGTTTATGTGTGTCAGCGTTTTTTTTCCATGTGCAAGCTCAAATGTAAAAAACGTTCGATACATACAGCGCAAAGCAAGGTAATAGGAATACAACAAGATGTGATATGTACATATAATTTACAACAACGCAAGATCGAGAGCATCACGATAGCAAGCAACCAGATGAACAAGAAAAACCGTTCACCCCACTTACACATTTTGTCCCACATTCGAGAGTCACTCCTACTTCCGAGGAGCAGACTTCCTCCTGACCTCCTCTTCATTGCAAGCATGTAACATCAGCTTGTTCGGGTGACCAGGGACCATCCCCGCATGTCCCTTGTGCCAGTCATACGAGATTGCGTACGCAAAGATGGTGCCAGTGTGGTTGAACGCAATGGAAGAGACTGGAGCGCCTAAATCGAAGGCTACGGTTGTAACAAGAGCAGATGAAAAACTATCAAAGGCAGAACAACCCGCACTGCATAAATGAGAGTAACGTACTTGCCAATCGTGACCGAGCACCTCGGTCCCAGAAGCAAGCTGTGCCGTCGCCACCTGGGGTAGGAGTCGTCACTTTGGAGTGCTCACTGATGATTACGAGGGCGCTACTTACCGGAAGTTGCGAAGGTCCCGTGGACGGGATGAAAGCGTATATCGTTCACGGCATATATGTCAGCTTGGTCTTTGGAGTTGGGAACCACATCCCGACGATGACATCTGAAGGTGAAGTTCTTGCTGTGGCCACGGCATTAGTTACTTATGCACAGCAGAATTTTATGCAATATGATACTCACACCTGGTCTCTGTCTTCGATGTACCTGTATATATAATAAATATTGTTTGAATGTAATATATTGATGTTGAAAGTCCTTACTGGATACCTAAGCGTCCTTCGATGCTCCCGACAGCGAAACCCGAGCCATCCGAGCTGGAAAAACACGCCACGGCACGCGTTTGAAGCTTTAAAGGCGATTTAATACTCTGCACAGACAAGCGTATGAGTACGATGAGAAGTGAGCATGACCGCGCGCTAGGTACCGACCTTATAAGGTGTTTTCAACTGATTCACGTCGTAAATGAATATCCCTAGGTCGGCATCCCCAGCAACCAGGAGGGGAAATTGAACATCCATTGCGTAGCATCTCTCTGGCAGCCTGATATTCGCTACGGGATTGGATTGGCGCAAGTCCCAGAACTGTAGAACGAGTCACGAGCTGTTTCATTGTGGGTTCACCAGCGACATACCTTGATTGTCTTGTCCCAACTTCCTGTCGCCAGAAGCCCCGAACCAGGTGCGTCTACCCATTTGACCACCTTTATTGGCTTCTCGTGCTGCGCAACTTGCATGGCTTGTCCAGTTGCAAGGTCAAGCATTCGGCCGGCATTGTCTACTCCTCCAGAGAAGACCTTCCCCTCCTGTTCATCGCGTATAGAAAATAAGCTAGCCATTATGAATAGATATCAGGCACCATACCTTGTTCCAACACACGCTCAATACTGGCGCTTCGTGCTGCAGTATTGCCTTCCCTTGCGACTGCCCTCCCGCTCCAATCTCGTAGACGCGCACCTGTTGGTTACAACCTCAGAATCTTGCCAGAAGTTGCGTGTATATCCTACACTATTGTCCCAGCTCCCTACGGCCAGGTAGTCCACCTGAGGCGAGAATTCGATGGACGATATCGAGTCGGGGGGTAGATCGGTAACCTCAACGTCTGGCGGTGCTGAGGTCGCTGCTAACGACGTTGTCTGGATCGTGAGCGGGTTTTGGTTGTTGTTGCCAAAGAACGCCATGTGTCCCGTAGTAAAGAGTGTGGGAGGGATAAAGGCACCTCCAAAGTCAAGATGACCATCGTATTTGAACCCACTCAAGTCTTACGGTTGCGAAAGCGATTGCAGCTTCTTGATGGTCCCCATTTGGAAAGAATGAGCGCTCGCCTAAAATGGCAAAATGATCACATGATCATTTAACCTTCAATGAAACCAACTGTCGGTCGGAAGAGGAAGTGCTTCTTCGGTGCTTCTTCCACGTTTTCATTCCTAAACCACCATATCAGAGTCACGACAGACACCAAAATCAAAACGCAAGAACTATGACCGCGAAAGAGTCATTTTTCAAGGGCTTGAAACCCTCAGAAAGGGAAGGACGACATGACCCGTACGTATATTCGGAACAGATGGTCGAATGACTTATTTCAGGCGTTGATTGCTATCGTGATTCTAACAGAAAGTTCATTGGAGAGATCTCTGGATATCCCGTCGGTTCTACGTTCAGAGATCGGAATGAGCTCTCGAGTACTGGCGTGCATGCTCCCCTCAGAGCAGGCAT